GTAGATTTTTTTTTTAAGTCAGCCATATTTAACACAATTTTGAGTTGTTTTATAATCCCTTGAAGTATCTACTTCTGCTGGCAGTTAAACACACTCAGTTAATGTTGGGTTTGTATTTACATAGCTGTTAGCACTGTTTAACCCCTTGACTTGACACCAAGAAGTTGGTCCCTGCTTATCCCATAGCCTGTAAGACACTACTTTCTCAGCATGTGGTCTTGGGAAGTATTTTAAAGGCAATTGATTGTTTTTTAAATCAGGCAATCTAGTTAGACAAGGAATATGTAATTTTTAAATTTATTTTATGTATATGAGTACACTGTAGCTGTCTTCAGACACACCAGAAGAGGGCATCAGATCCCATTACAGATGGTTGTGAGCCACTGTGTGGTTGCTGGGAATTGAACTCAGGATCTCTGCAAGAACAGTCAGTGCTCTTAACTGCTGAGCCATCTCTCAAGTCCAATATGTGACTTTTTAAATTATAGTTTTATTAATTTACTTGTGTGTGTGTGTGTGTGTGTGTGTGTGTGTCTCCCCAGGAGTGGGAACATGTATGTCACAATGGATAAGTGAAAGTCAGAAGACAACTTCCAGAAGTTGATTCTCTCACGTTGCCAGACAGCAAGCACCTTAATGCACTGCCACGTCTGGCTGGGGATCAAAGCCAGGACTCCGAATATGCTAGTCAAGCACGCTAATGGTGAACTATACACCTAAGCATGATATTTTTTAAGTTGAATAGATACCAGAACTTATAAAAGCAAAATTTAAATAATTTGTAATTTATTACTCAATGACTGACATTTTCCTGTTTTTTCAGTCTTAATCATCATCAAAAAGGTAGCCCACTTCTATTCAGATTTGGACATAGTAGCTGGACAGGTTAAGTTCTTTGTAATCTTTCTACCTTAGTATTAGATTGACAAATATATACCTAATTATGAATACATATATATATATGTGTGTGTGTGTGTGTAGGCATATATATATGCCTACATGTCAAATATAATTAAGATATATGTTGCAGGAGTATATTAGAATATAAATATACATAATTTATGCACACACATATTCAACTAGTCTCAATTGCCTTTACAATAGTGCTATGTAACAAATTCCATCCACCTAGAATCCCAGCACTCAGGGGAGGATTATAAATCCAAGGCCAGCCAGGGCTACAGTAGCAAGACCCCATCAAAACAAACAAACACAGGACATGATGGTACAAGCTTTAAATCCAGGTACTTGGGGGATAGAGGCAGGGACAAAAGCAAAAGCAGGCAGATCTCTGTTAGAGGCTAGCCTGGTCTATACAGAGTTCCAGACGAGAGCTGCAGAGAGACTGTCTACAGCTAAAACAACCTCCCTCAAACTCATTGTCCTAAGTTTAAAGTTGTCTATTTATTCTTTCTGATGCTTTTGTAAGCAGGACTCTGCTGAGTGACTGTGTTACAGTGTGGTGTTCACTGGGCATGCCTTCTACCAATGATCTTCTACAGATCTCTCCTTTCTGAGGCCAAAGTTACCTTGTCTTCTCTTGGCTGTAGCCAAGAGGTACACAAAGAACAACCCAATGCAAATAAGCCTCTGTGCTTTTTGTCTTGTTTTTCTCTAATTTTCCCACTGGTATAGTTCATAGAAATGTATGCAGAAGATTTTGCTGGACATTTGGGACAGGAAAAGAGTCTTACATCTGCATTCACACCTCTGCATCCCTCGGCTCCTCTCCTTTGGATTCTATTTGCAGTCAGCCCACACACAGTCAGCCCACACACAGCCTCCCTAGTCAACGCTTGCTGGAGACTTTTCTCTGATTTAAGGGATTCTGATTGTCTCATCTCGTTGACTTTGTGCAACCGAATCCAGCTTTTGTACTGATTCATTGAATGTATGTATATTGAGAATATGTCTCCTTCCTCACCTTGATGAATTTTAATCCAGGTGGGGAAATTAATAATGCCTGTTTCTATTTGGAGGCCAGGTCATTCTTCTCTACAGGGACTGTTTTGTGCATCATAGGGTGTTTATTAGAATCCCTGGCCTTATACAGTAGACTTGATAAGAATGCTGATACATAGCAGTAATGGGTTAAGAAAGATGAAGGGATGAGGCTAAGGATGTCATTTAATTGGTAGAGTACTTGCCTAGCATCTGTCAGGCATTGGGTTCCACTCATAAGGAACCAGGTATGATGATGGTACATGCTTGTAATCTGACACTCAGGAGGCAGAGTCAGAAGGAATTTGAGGGGACTCTGGGATACTTGAGCCTCTGTCTTAGAACAAACAAAACAACAGGGGGAAAGGGTGCAGAAGTGGGAAGTCTCCCCTACAGGTGACTCTCTGGAAACTGGAGGGACAGGGGCACCTAAGATGAGACCTCAAGAATGGCTCAGGAAATATAGCACATCAGAGCAGAGAGCCACTGTGTAAGCTAAGCACAAACGGAATGGGGCATGGCAGTGATGGTGTGTGTGTGTGTGTGTGTGTGTGTGTGTGTGTGTGTGAGAGAGAGAGAGAGAGAGAGAGAGAGAGAGAGAAGGAGGGAGAGAGAAGGAGGGAGAGAAGCATGGGGATGTGGGGGAAAGAGTCAGTAGCACAGGGAGGCTGGATACTTGGGGTCCTGTAAGTCACATGACTCCCACTTTCACTGAGAGGAGTGATAAGTGTGTCTGACTCTGTGCTCATCTGAGGGACATACATTTCTTACATCCAGGGTCAAAAAAAACAAACAAACAAACAAAAAAACACCTGAGGTAAAAGCCCAGTTTCCCAGTTTCCCTATAATCATTTTATCTGTCCCTCACCTCTGAGAAATTTCACTCTGAATTCTTCATTTTAAGTGGTAGTCAGTTCCCAGGAGAGCTGAGACAACGGGAGAGGGGGAGAGATCACCTAATCAGGTTTCAACTACAGTGGAGCTTCCATGGTGGCCAAGGACAATGGCTAACAGCAAAAATGGATGAGTGAATGACCAATTGGTGAATGAATGAATGAATGAATGAATGAATGAATAATGAATGAATGAATAAACTACAAGTTCGAGAGGTCCAGAGTGCGGAGTCTTTTAGACAGAAGACATCCATCTCTGCATAATCTGCAATGACCTGGCTACAGTACAGCACTGGCCCTGTTTCCCAGAACATGCAATGTCTCCAAGCAAGGAATGTGTGAGACATTGTGGGGTAAATCCACTTAGAGCTAGGACAATGATTGGGAGTGGGGGCAAGAGTTCACCCTCCAGCCTTACATTGTTGTGTCAAAGCTCTGCAACAGGTGCTAAGCCATACCAGGTCTTGGTGGTCTCATCTCTAAAATGGGATTCCTGACTCATACAGCCATTGGGAAAGTTAACTGAAATAACTCATGTCTACTCGTCAGGGTTCTCTAGAGTAACAAAACTCATAGAATGAAACACCCGGGGGGGTGGGGGTGGGGGAGAAAGAGATCATGAACGACTCTTACAGGCTGCAGTTCAGTTAATCCAACAGGGCTGGATGTCTCATCAGGTCTTTCAATGTATGCTGGAGTTCTGACGAAGCAGGCTCTAATGCCAATGAAGGAATGTACTATCAAGGCAAGGGCAAGCAGGCAAAGGCAAGTTTCCTTCTTCCATGTCCTTATATAGACTTCCAGCAGAAGGTCTGTCCCAGATTTAAGGTACATCTTCCAGACTTAAGATCCGGATCAAAGTTCCAGATTTGAAGTAGGTTCACCCACCTCAAACCAAGCAAAAGATCTCTCACAGATGTGCCCTCAATTTCTGGATTGTAGTTCATTCCAAATGTAGGCATGTTGACAACCAAGAATAGCCATCACACCATGTGAATTAAGTCTTGGAACAGTGCTCAACAAAAGCTAATTATCACTCCTGCTGTTATACAAGAAGAGTACAGACACTGAGGTTTATCCCCCAAGTAACAGCCATAAGTATTCTGGAATATTCAAGGAGACTCTTAGCAGTGCTAAAAGTTCTCTTCTTGAAACTATATAGAATAGTAATAGCAATCAAGAGACTATCCAGAAACTTGGTGGTAGTTGTGTCTGTCCCATCCATTGTGTCTCTTTTTGTCAATAGGTCACTGAGGGAGAGACAGAAAGTCCAGGGTTCTGCCTAACTAGCTTACTTCTCAGCAAAATATTTCCTTTGAGGAACACTGGCCTTTTGCCCTTTGTCCTATGTCCTTTCCCCTTTGCCCTTTGGCTATCCAAAGAAAAAAACATGTTATTCTGAAATAGCTAGGAGAATATGAAGCTGTTTCCTTCTGATTGTATGTCCTGAGCTGTGTATACACAATCTACCTCTGAATAAGAAATACACACATCAGCAAGACAGTTGGAGTGCCAAGGAAATGGCCGTGAAGCACCAAAGCCACCCCTGGATTGTTTCCCTTTGATCAATGTCTTCCTGGCAACAAAGTTGTATGCACAGGATACTCTGTCATGGAAAAACTTTGGCCTGGTTTCTCAGTGTAGTGAACAATGAACGTTACAGGTCGCCAGCAGGAAGGTAGCTGCTCTCTTGCCAATGGATAGCAGGACAATAAAGCATCTTGTGCTCTGTTTGTGTGTCTTCCAGGCTGGAGCAGGAAATACAAGCGCTCGAAAGTGAAGAGTCCCAGATATCCGCCAAAGAGCAGATCATCCTCGAGAAACTGAAGGAGACAGAGAAATCCTTCAAGGACTTGCAGAAGGTGAAGGAAAAAAAAAAAAAAGCAGAGTTTCTCTAATCCAAATAAGGGCAGTCCCCTAGGAAAGGGCTGGAGCAGCGGCTCTCAACCTTCCCAATTCAGAGATCCTTTAATACAGTTCCTCATGTTGTCGTGACCCCAACCATAAAATTATTTCGTTGCTTCATCATAACTGTAACTTTGGTACTGTTATGGTCATAAATAAGTATCTGATATGCGGGATATCTGATATGGGACCCCCAAAGAAGTTGTGACCCACAGGTTGAGGACCACTGGGCTAGATGGTACCAGAGAAGTCTGAGCCATACACTCTAAAAAGAGAACAGAGGTGCCTGGTACTGGCGCTGTTCCTGCAGCAGAGTGGCTAGCCTGTCTTCATTAGGAGGCATGGGGACAAGTCTATTAAATTAATCCAATTTATATGCTGCTGTCCACACCCCACAGTTCCTCAATGTCTGAAAAGTTTTCAAATCATGCATTAGAATGGTAAGACCAGTTCCTATTAAGCAGATTAGATGACCTAATGTGGCTTTAATTAGAAATTTCCTTTCAAGTCTTTCCTTTATGAAAGGACTAGAAGGCAACGCTGTAGCAAATGGGCAGGAATTCCAATATACAGGGTGTAAATGCATGGGAATTCCCCTACGTAAAAATAAATGGCTCTGTGTGGTAACATCCAGAGAGGCCTTGAGGCGCTGAATTTCTCAGGACCACATTCTCAGTGATTAAAAAAGAAAAGAAACAAAGAAACACCCAAAAACCCCAAACCTGTATAAAATGAAATTCAAGATGGAATCCTTCTAATAGTGCATCTTCATCACGACTCAGAAGAGTTGCTGGATGATTGAAATTATCTCTCAGTAAGTTGATTGACATTCCATGTAAATTGGGAATATCAAATCCTTCATTGATCCCTGGAGAAAAGTAAGCTTGGGTCTTGCCTGCTGCTGGCCGAGTTCTGGGTCTGTATTTTAGGGGCTGGGAGTGGGATACGCCACACACACACACACAGTGACACTCTGCCCTGCTTTTGTCTCCACAGAGTTTCTCCACTGCTGATGGAGGTAAGTGCACAATGCCCTAGCTGTACTCCGATGCTCTCCTCCTGGTCCGCTGAGTGGTTCTCATTCATACAGACTCACCAGCAGAAAGATATGAAGGGAGACTTCCTAAGGGCATCCCAGGCAAGGGGCAGCAACCTAGCTGGCAGCACCCTAAGAGGTCACATTGCCATCTTCTCTGCCTCTGCCTTTTGACTTGATGCTCTTATTAGCACATTGACCAGCTCTCGGTCCCATGGCCTCAAGCATTTGCTGTCTGGACTTTTCTTGAAAGAGGTTGGCCAAAGAACATACTGGAGTCAGTATTAAGTCCCTTACAGGAATCGGCCCATCACCCCCAGTAACTAAGTCACATCAGAGGTAATTTGCTGTCTAGGAAAACTTCTGAGGCCTCTGGAGCTTTCTTTGCCCTCCTTCCCTCCATCCTTCCAGAACTATTCTAGAATCTGTCTAGCCTTCCAAGGAAACTGGGCTAGGAAAAATTCCCCTTCCTGCTGTGACATCTGACTCTGAGCCCTGGAAAGTGAGAGTAAGACTCTAGTCCCCATAATCCCAGCCAGACAGAAAGGGACAGGTCCTTCTCCTGTCCTCTCCTTTGCCTTCCTGGGCTGTGGGGATGAACTTGGGACTATGCTTCTGTGCTTCACTTCGTCCCCTACCTCAGCTATGAATGCAAAGTTGTTATTTTTATCTTGGTCCTCAGTAGATGGGCTTTGAAATGCAAGGACACATGGGAGCATCAGCTGCTACCTGCTTCTCTTGTGGCTCTCACACAGTCAGCCTCCAGCTCAGGAAGAAGATCAGAGGCCAGAGGAGTTGGCATCAGAACATTTCCCATTGTCATTCAGTACAAAAGGGGGAGATAGTTTTTAAAAGCATGATGATGTGTAATACATTTCTTCTGGATCGACCACAGACCAGACATTTGTATGTGGGACAGCTCTGACCGGCACAAAAGATAGGCAAAATAAAACAACAGAGAAGGTATCATGATTCTTTCCCCCAGCAAGTAAAAGACCTGGATCTGAGCTCCCTTGTAGGTGATCTTTGGGGAGACATAAAGGAGACCTTTTGTTCTCAGACCCCGTAGCAGGATCTCTGGGAGAAAAGAACCAAGCACATTTCTAGGAGGGAAGCCCAGCTTCTCTAGGATGTGACTCAGTTGGGGCTCTTCTGTGCTTTGAAAGTGGGAACAGATGAAGGGGAGGCCTTGGGAACATGGGAGCACTGCACAGAGAGAAGCAGAGTTTAGAGGAGGTAGAGTCACTGCCAGGCTGGCCTGGGGCTGGGTCAAAGACCCGCAGACCCGCAGACCTGCAGACCCACAGATACTTGCACCTGCAGAAGGCCTGTTGTGCTTTCATGCTGTGCCCCTCCCCCCTCCTCTAACCAGGACCTTCCTTGGAATTTTCTCTTATAGTTAGGGAAGGGAAGGCATCTGAATGTCCTGGCCCTGAGAAGGTTGTGACTAGATGCCTGTGTAGTCCACCACTCAATAAGCCAACATGGAGGCATATTACCATTGTTACCACTGTTTCTCTCATATGCACATCCATTCATTTCCTCTGTAGCCTTCCTGCTGTATTCTCTGGATCCTCCAAGTTTTCACAGAGGTAGGAGGAATCCTGACAAAACAAATTGGAAGCCTAAAGCTGGGTGAACACAGGTTTAGGAGAATATGATTTTCGGGGATCCTCAGGGGGGATTGTTGTGGTCTCACCTGTCCATCCCACACTGTGATTCCTAACTTCTGAGGTTCTTACTAAGCCTGGATGACTTCTCTGTCAGTTGCACTTACTAACCAAGAAAGAAATTTGTAGAAAGGCTAATAAGAATATGATTGATGCCTAGATCATTTCATGGTCTGAGATAAAACTTCCAATGTATCCCACTTGGGGGACTTTGAGAAGCCAGGTTTTGTTTCAAAGATCCTAAGTTGGTGAGACACTCTTAGAATCAGTCAACTCTTGTTATTAAGGCTTAGCAAGAAATTATTCTAAAATGATACTGAAAGAAAACCTTAGTTTCAGAGACATGCTGATTACAGAACTGAGTTCTATCTTGGACTAGAATAACTGTGTAGCTGCTGCAGAGTCAACCACAGCATCCTGTACCTATGAGTGCTGAGGAGGAGGATGGTGAATGTGATTGTGTGTGTGTGTGTGTGTCTGCAGACTCACACAGTGGCCCTTCTTTGGGTATCCTCTGATTATGACCTCACACATATTAGAAGAAGTAATAATATTGCTGAGTCTTTGATAGTTTTTGATGACAATACCCTGGTCATCAGGAACAGTTCATTTCACTCTTGATTGCAATTTCCTGATCAAGCCTCCAACCTGCATACGTGCTATTCTTATGGTGTTTTGTCTGAGTATAAATTACATATGGTACTTGCTTTAACTTCATTTATGTTGCTGTGATAAAATACCCAGACCCCCCCCCAATCAACTTTATGTTAACTCACAACCTCAGGTTACAGTCTATCATAGTAGGGATGGCAAAGCAACAGGAGTTTAAAACACCCACAGTCAAGAGCAGAGCGAAATGAATGCATACCTGCTTATTTGATCTCAGCTGCCTCTCTTCATTTATACTGTCCAAGATTCCATAACTAGGAGATGGTACCGCCCATAGTGGGCAGTTCTTCCCGTATCAATTAACATAAGACAATCTCTCAAGGGGCTGGACAGATTGCTTGTTCAGCATTTAAGACTACTTGTTGCACCTGGCAGTAGTGATGGCGCACGCCTTTAGTCCTAGCACTCAGGAGGCAGAATCAGGCTGAGCTCTGAGTTCAAAGCTAACCTGGTTTATAGAATGAGTTCTAGGACAGCCAAGGCTACACAGAAAAACCCTGTCTCAAAAAAAAAAAAGTGTCCTGGGCCTCTCCCAGTCTTGCTGTGAGATACTGATCTTAGATTCCTGTTCTATCCCAGTCTGTGGCATCCTGAGGCCACACCAAAACCTCCATCCAGTGATCGGGAAATCTCAATGTTTGGTTACTTACTACCTTACATTTTAAGGCGAGTTCTCACCAGAGCTAGCCCTCTAGCTGTAGTTATGTCTGTTCTTCATAACTGTTGTAATGTTTTAGCTGTGCAAAGATACACTCTACATTTCTGTCCCACGGGTGATGTTCTCCATCCTCTCTGACAGCAGAGAGAATGCTGAGAGACCCCTGGCTTTGACAGGAAGAGGACAGCTTAGTGACTGAGGCCAGCCAAAGGCCGTTTGTTATACTGTGTGCTGAGCTTTCACGGTCTCCTTGGATGTGTGACAAATAAGGTTTAGTGCTTTTTTTTTTAAGACAGTTTCTCTATGTAGTCCTGACCACTCTGGAACTTGCTATATAGACCAGGATGGCCTTAAATTCACCTAGATCTCCATGCTTCTGCCGCTGGAGCTCTGGGGTTAAAGGTATGCACCAGCACGCCCGACCTAAGGTTTGTATTTAGTGATGCATTAAGGGGGTTACTCTGGTCCTCCTCTGATGAGCCATGCAATCGTCTCCTAGAAGAAGTCATGCAGGCCCAGCACTCTAAGAGTTGTGGTCAGTGGGCTTATATCTGGTGCACATTAGACGTTTCATCATCAATTCACATCTGACTAGGAGAAGCCTCCTGGAGTAGGGTAAGACAGAAGCTTGGGCTACTTGCTCTTTAGAGGCACAGTCATCTCATGTCTGTAAGTGGCTCTTGCTTCCAGCTGCTGAAATGCTTACCCCAGCAACCCCACATTTAACAAAGAATGTACTAGACACACATGTGACCAGTCTCTGAGGTCTTACTTGATCTTACTGGCTTGAACCTCTATCTCTCATTTGAATTCGAGAAGCCACGCTTGCTGAGGTCCCATTCCAGAGATGTCTGGAAGTCTTCAGTGAAATGCGAAAGCTCTCCAAGTCTGGTCCAGTCATCTTCCTTCTCCTCATTCACCATAGTCCCAGAGGGCTGCTTCATCTTTTCACGAGCCATGGTAATCAAAATGTTCCCAGCCCCTGAAGAAGGGCTTATCCCACACTGCTATTGCTGGCCCTGCCTTGGGCTTGCTTGGGATAGACATCTTTCCACACCTCCCCCACTGTGGAAGCAGAGTAACAGCTGCCAGCTGAGTTCATAAGTAATAGATGTTTAAGGTTGGAGAAGAATATCCAACATTTATATGGCTATTCAGCCCTTGGTTCAGATCCAGACCCATCTTTAGGGACTCATCTCCAGGATGCTTCACAACCTTCTCCTAGCTAGATTTCTTCCCTGTAGTGAAAGGGTATTCAGATTTGTCTTTCCTGCCTGGGATCCAAGCTCCAGTGTATGTAAAGCTGGAGAGAGAAAGGAAACATGACCTTTACAGTCTAAAGTCTTCCCACCTGGTCCTTGTGCCTTGTTCCTCCATTTGTTCAGTTTGAGGGATTGTTTGAGACAGTCTTAGACTGTAGCCCTGGCTGGACCAGAATTCTACATATAGTGGGCTGGCCTCAGACTTATGGCAATCCTCCTGCCTCTGCCTCCTGAATACTGAGATTACAGGCATGCACTACCATATCTGCCTGAGTTTTCATTATTGCTCTTCTTGTTTTTTGTATTACTCTGTAGCCTGGGGTAACCTGGAACTCAGTATATTAACCCAGGCTGGCTCGACCTTATGGCAGTGCTCTGGCTTAGTCTCTCAAAAGCTGGGGTTACAGGTGTGAGAATCTTTTTCTATATCATGCCCTGGATTTTGTCCCATGTGGTTGATATGGAAAAATCCATTGTCTTAGAAAAATTCCACCTTTGCCCTACGAACATGATGGTCCAATGTCAGCACATCCTGCACTGTTCAGACTCATCGTGAGTCGGCGTATAGCCTGGTTGCCATAGAGTGGAATTGATCCTAGTCCAGTGTCTGTTTATAAGTCTTCCAGTGTGAAGACTAAAAGGGGTAGGGAACAAGAGAAGAATCTCTCAGAACTAAAGTAACATAACTATAAATAGGGGGCTGGAGAGATGGCTTAGCTACCA